TGCCAAGAAACCCCTCCTAGAGCATGTACTTTAGTTTTTCGTGGCACGCTCTACTTTATCTACCCCATTTTATTACCTCTTTTCGTTTATCTTTTCTTTTCTTTCCTTTTTCCCCTTTTTCTTTTCGAGGGGGGTACTAGAGAGTAACAACACTTGCAACCTATATTCTTAACGACCAATGCTATCTTTTTGAGGAACTAACTCCAACACTACACTTAATTTTTCTCAACCCTAGCAAGGACCGCACACGAACTTCCTATGTAGAACCTCTATGGAAACTCAAAGGTGAGAGCTTCGGGACACAAGGATGACTCATGTTTAGACACGAAGAAAGGATTGGGGTCGTTCTATTAACACCACTAAGCTCACACGCACGAAGCTCCTAAATCGAGAACGACCCACGAAGTCACACGGCTCAAAGGGTTTGACTAAAGGATGACACATATGGGGACAATCAACATATGGGCGTAGACTAATCCTATGCCTCCATCATACTTACTAGTGACAACTTGTGATGCTACACACCGTGGTAAGAGGGAACTATCACACCGGAAGAAAACGATCGGCTCAAAGCTCACAAGCTACCTAGTTACCCAACCATCTATTCCAATTCACAAACACGATGCATGGCAATTGTAAACAATAAGTGATCAAGTCAAGACATCCATTCATTTATGCACACGTGAGAACTAGATTTTTTTCCCTATCCTAATGAACTTCTCAGTCATCATCATAGGATATACTCGATCACTTGCAACAAGTTGAGACCAATGCCAATAAACACGAGAATTTCCCACCATTCGATCACTTTGCTCATGCAAACATTGCCTGGAGCCCTCAAATTTTTGAAATTTGGGCATGCAAAAGGCTCCAAGCATTAAGCACACTCACACAAGCGTACTAGTAAACTCCCCCCCCCCCCCCCCCCACACACACACACTTAAACTCGACATTTCCCTCAATGGCGTAAGAAAGGGGTAGAATGATGTTACCGCTTGGGCTTGGTGAGTGAAAGTTGAAATCGAACCGGGGTAGGATAATTGAGCTTCAAGGAGAGACAACAAACACACACAAACACAATATGATTCGCTCGAGGCGAGGTTATTACAAGCATAATACATAGTAGTAGTAGTTCAAACTTGCTAACATTCGTTGGGTTGCCTCCCAACAAGCGCTTCTTTAACGTCTTAAGCTAGACGGAGACTCTAGGTCATGCATCTTGCAGGAACACCACCTCCTTGTGTGGCATTACCTCTCCTCTAAGGTAACGCTTCAGACGGTGTCCATTCACTTTGAAAGTTCCTTCCTCCGGGTGGGAGATCTCAACCACCCCGTATGTGAACACTTGCGTTACCACATACGGGCCCGACCATTTCGACCGTAACTTTCCAGGGAATAACTTCAACCGGGAGTTGTACAAGAGAACCTGGTCTCCGATCTGGAAATCCTTCCCTCCTTTCAAGCAGGCATTGTGCAAGCGCTTCGTCCTCTTCTTGTAAATCTTGGTGTTCTCATAGGCTTGGAGACGCCACTCCTCAAGTTTAAGCACCTGCAACTTCCTTTCATTTCCACACAAACTAGGATCCATATTCAAAAGCTTTGTGGCCTAGAAAGCCTTGTGCTCTAGCTCTACGGGTAAGTGTCACGCTTTGCCATACACCAACTGATAAGGCGAGACGCCTATGGGTGTTTTGTAGGCCGGGCGGTATGGCCATAGAGCATCATCGAGCTTTGAGGACCAATCTTTGCGAGATTGATCCATGGTCTTCTCCAGGATCCGTTTAAGCTCCCTATTTGATAGCTTGACTTGTCCACTAGTTTGGGGGTGGTAGGCCACGGACACCCGGTGGGTGACACCGTAGTGAGAGATGAGCTTATCGAATTGCCCTTGAAAATGGGTTCCTCAGTCGCTAACGATGGCCCTCGGGGTCCCAAATCGTGAAAACAGCTTTTTCAGAAATTCACAGACTCGTCTTGCATCATTGGTGAGGAGAGCTTGAGCCTCAACCCACCTTAAGACGTAGTCTATAGCCACAAGGATGTATTTGTTACCAAAAGACGAGGGGAAAGGTCCCATAAAATCGATGACCCAAACATCAAAGATCTCACAAGTAATAGAAATCGTTTGGGGCATCTCATTTCGGCTAGAAGCATTACCTGTCCTTAGGCATTTGCTAATTGAAATGAAAGAAAGCAAAGGTAAATGGTTTTGATAACTCTTTGGTGGAAAGATCACTCGGGTGTCGCTTCCCCCTAACTGCTACCTTGCTATGTGGATTGGAACAATTGCTTTGGGCACGATAATCGCGATCCGAAGAGGGACGTATATGTGGTCGACCACAATCTCAATTGCTAAATCGAGGTAAGCAAGAAAGGCCGTGTCACTCGACCCTCTCGGTTTAGACAATCGGTAATTGACTTACTCCCTCACTCAACTCTAAGGTCGGACTGCTTAATCGCAATTAACTGACTTTCTTAACTCAATATCGAGGGTTGCCCTAACTTAACCTAGTTTAGGTGGCTTAGAAAGCGGAAGGAAAACCAACTCGATTGAGTCTCCCTTGGAAGGGAGATTTTCCTCTCTAAGCTAGGCTAAGGTGGCTAATTAGATTGCTAGCACCTAAATGCACAAACCTAAGGGTGCTAAGCACAAAACATGCACAACCCCTAAGTTTTTAAGCACAAGCATGCACAATCGTGATAAATAATGGCTCAATCATTGAATTGAACAATACCCAATGACAATCATCGAATACACATAAAAGAAAACTACATGGTAGAGTTAGGGTTTCACAACACCTAAGTGAAAGGAGGTCTACTCCATGCTAGAAGTGGGAAAAACAAAAGGGAAAAATATGGAAACCATCTTGGAGGATGCTCCCAGTCTTCTTTGCCCTTGAGTTGAGCTTTCCTTGGAGGAAGTCTTCCCAAAATTTGCCTTGAAGCTAAACCCTAGCCTTCTTCTCCCTTTGGTTCGTGTTTCTCTCTCTAGAATGTTGAAGAAGGCTTTTCACACACAATGGGCTCTCCCCTCTCTCCTCCTTTCAGCTCATCATTTAAACCCGAGACGGGCTGAGTTCACGGCCGTGAACCATGAAACGTGTCCGTGAACTTCAGGCGTGCACCAAAATGCGCCGCATCATTCACTTCTGTTCATGATCAACTGCCCTCGTTCACGGTCTTAGTGACCGTGAACTCACCTTGTGTCAATAACCTCCACTTTGGCTCTGGACGCCTCGCGATTCACGGTCCATGGCTCTTCTTCATGACCGTGAACTTGCTTGGTTAGCCGTAAACTGGCCCTTTTTCACCTCTTCTCCCGGTTTTTGATCCTTTTTGCCAATCTTTCGACTCCGAGGCTGGTTTCACCTGTCAAATCCTGAAACAGACTAAAACGCGGGAAACCTAGCGTAAAACCAACGTTCTAGGAGTGAATTTGGCACAAACATCTAAGTAAAACGGGGGCAAAACATGTACAATTAGGCCGGAATCACTCCCCCAGACTTAGACGTTTGCTTGTCCCCAAGCAAGCCATTTCACACAAAGGTAATATTTCAACCTACACAAATACTTTGGGGACAACTCAAAGGGAACAAAGTGGGAATTCTCAATGGCCATTGACAATCAATACATGGGTCATTGCAAGTAATACCGACATCCACCACAAACGACATCTCCCCTCTCTCTTCCTTTCAGCTCACATTATATACCAGGATCGGGCTCAGTTCACGGCCATGAACTCTTCAACGCGTCCGTGAACACAGAGCACGCTGTCGAAACGCACCGCTTCGCCATTAGGAGTTCACAGTTTGGCCTCTATCTTCACGGTCTTGTTGGCCGTGAACTCGTCCCGCATTAGTAACTGCAGATTTCTCCATGGACGCATCGCGGTTCATGGTTTTGGGCTTCAGTTCACGGCCATAGTGGACCGTGAACTCCCATGCTAAACCGTGAAGATAGAGGCCGTGAAGATAGAGGACCGTGGCCTCTATCTTCACCCTCTTTGCCCGATTTTCACCTCTTTTCATCCAACTTTCGACTCCGGTGATGGTTTCACCTGTTGGATCCTGAACACACTAAAACTCACAAAACTTAGCGTAAAACCACCTTTTTAGGAGTCCGAATGCTACAAACGCCCAAGGAAAACGGGAATAAAATGTGTGCAATTAGGCCCGAGTCATCAAGCTAACTCATCCCATGAAATATTATATTCTATTGTCTCAGATGTTTTCTATGTATATTTGAAGTTGTACCATCACATAAAGGTACAAGTTCAAGTTGTACCATAAAAGAATTTGTACAAAAAGTATAGGTACAATGTGAAGTTGTACCATAACGTTAAAGGTACAATTTCAAGTTGTACCATAAAGACAAAAACCTATAGCACCAATACTATATAGCATTGTAAAATTCCTTAAGTTTTCGTCCATTTTAATATCTATATATGGTATTGCATGTAACTTTCTTGTAAGAAATTTGAGTATACATTAAATATAACATGTTGTTCCCAAATTTGAGAAAGACGAATGAGGATTATAATAACGGAAGGTTGGGCCTCTAAAGTACTCCTTTTCTTCAATCAAGTTGGGGATACATAACAAGAAATGAGTAAAGTTTTTTTGTACGAGATAATATAATCCATTGAAAGTTGCCAGACGATATTATGAATTATGATAAAAACGTGACGTGATATGAGACACGGTATCCACCAACCTCACCATCACTCTTTTCCCCTTCTCAAATTGCAAACAGTTAATCCAGTGAAATGATGCAATTCACCCAACAACAAATCATTGACTTAGATTTCCCCGACACATGTACTGTGTAACTAACATCATTTTTAGTGGAAATGGAACACTTCAACTCCATACATAATTGAACCCACAAAGAAGAAGACAAAGAAGAGGGAGATGAGGTGGATAGCAATATATCATCTCATCATTATTCATCTTATATAATAATAATCCCCAATGCTCTTTTCCTACCATAAAAGGCTAAATGCCTATGTCCCCTTTCTAGGCCAAACAACCTCGGAAATCCCATGTAAAATACCAAACCATGCGATATACTTAGCCAAGTGATCATGAACCAGAAACCTTCATCATCATCGGGTGATTATGACAGTCGCGATCATGTTCGAGAGCTTAACCTCATCAACTGCTTCATCAACAACGATCGTCATAACGACGACGACGACCGAGAAGAGGAGGAGCGAAAGGTGTTCCCTTGCAACTACTGCCAGAGGAAGTTCTACAGCTCGCAAGCCCTCGGCGGCCACCAGAACGCGCACAAGCGAGAGCGGACGCTCGCCAAAAGAGGCCTCGCGATGATGAGAAGCAGCAGTAACGGTGTTTTTGCCTACCGCCCTTATTGGCAGGTCTACTACTGCACGGCGCCGTTTAGTATCCAACCCCACTACTTCCACTCTCACTCTGCCTCTGCCTCTTCTTCGGCCGGAAATCTGATGCCGATGCTTCGAGACCCGCGTCGGTTGGGTTGGCCGCCGGCGAATGGTAACAGTTCGATTAAGGGCCAAAGTGATGATGGTTTGCATAAGCTTGACCTAGCCCTCAAGCTCTAAGACTAGCTATATATATATATATATGTTTCTTACGTATTTTCTTGTTTTCCCTTTTCCTCCCCCAACCAAGAAAGAAAACTATATAGATCCATATCAAGGGAGTTTCTACTACATGTATGTATGTATGTATGTATTCACGTACGTACGTATATGATTGGTATGGTGGCGTTGTGTACGTGCTAAAATGCATTAGCTTTCTTCTGGATCGATCAACCCCAACCCACTAGATCCAACCATTTTCAGGATCCAAAGGTCATCTTTGAACATTGTCGAGAGCAACGATCGATGCTGCGATCATAACAGGATGCAAAGCCAAGCAATCGATGTGTTGGAGTGACGCGACGAGATGTTTCAATGTGACGATTTTAAAAGCTGGATCTCATACAGAAAAATTATCGACGAGGGTTGAGATTATGTTTTGAAGAGAATTTTCTCGCTTTTGTAGTGATGAGATTGATGAAATCTAATTAAAGTTTGTGAATTTGGAATGAGTTTGGAAACTAGCTAGCTAGTAAACTAAGGAGGGTGCATGTCGACTCTCGATCTACTTTTCCTCACACCAGGTGAGTGGGCGGGATAGGACAGAACAGGTCAGAGTGAATTATTACTAACTATCCATGTCCTCCAATATGTTCTAACCTCGGGTGGGACATTGGATCCACCAACGTCACCATCACTATTTTTTCCCCCTCTCATAGTGCAAGAAGTAAATTCAGCGAAATAATGTAATTTACCCAACAACAAAGAATATATATATAGACCATTTCCCCGACATATATACCATGTAATATAATTTTCCTTATTTTATTCTTTCCTTATTTTAATTCTTATTGAATTAGAAGCGTTACGTAAGCCTTCCGTAATAACTTAGCTCTTTACGTAACACGACGTTAATACTCATTACGTAAAAATACCTTCCATTACGTAAGGCTTCCGGAATGACATTTTACAACTGTTACGTAAAATACACATTCATTACGTAAAGGTTAAGGAACGATAGTTATTTCTTACGTAACAGTTAAATCGGAAGCGTTACGTAAGGCTTCCGTAATGACTTTGCACTTTACGTAACGCGAGGTTAATACTCATTACATAAAAAGATATTCCATTACGTAAAGGTTGCGGAACGACAATTATTTCTTACATAACAGTTAAATTAGTAGCGTTACGTAAGGCTTTCGTAATGACTTAGCATTTTACATAACGCGAGGTTAATACTCATTACGTAAAGACACATTCTATTATGTAAGGCTTCCGTAATGATCTTTTACAACTGTTGCGTAAGACTACCATATGTTACGTAACCATTACGTAATGCCTGTTGTATTTTACGTAATACGACCTGTGAAACCTACTATAGCATGTAAGAAAACTCAAGTTACCTTACTTCAAGTTACCATAGGAAATCCCTATAATTTTTGGTGAAAATGTAACACTTTGACTGGATGCATAATTGAACTCACAAAGATGAACACAAAGATGAGTTGGATACCGACGTATCATTCAGAGGAGAGAATCTTATAATTTTTTTTATCTTATATAATAATCCAAATGCTCTTTTCCTACCATAAAAGGCTAAATGCCGATGTCCACTTTCTAGGCCAAACCTCGGAACTCCATGTTAAATACCAAATTACCAACGATGCTATAGTTAGCCAAGTCATGAGGAAAGCTCCATCGGCTGATGATAATGATTGTGAGTGTTACCAAACGAGCCATCGTGATAAATTAGAAATTTTTAAACTCATCTATTTTTATTAATTAGTTGGTAAATTATTTATATTATTGGAATTTTAGTATTATTTATTATTTTAATTGTCTTAGTAGGATTTGGATTGTTTTTAGTTGTTGTTTAGAAATCGGTTATTGTTTTCTTATGGGAGAAGTAGTCATATTTTGAATAGGAGAAATGATATATTTCTATAACTATAAATATGTACACACTCTCTAGTTTAATGTCATTGAAGATTGAAACTCAATTTATGTTTCTTACTTTGTTATTTTTTAGTAGTTTCATAGCAATTTGAGGTAGATCTCGCCATCAAGGAGATCATATACTCGAGAGTGTCGAGCAACGAATCTAAAGTTCGTGTACGAGGATTTGCCGAGAATTTCCCGTAATAGAGAGCTGAACCTTATCGGCTGCTTCAGCAACGAACATGATAAAAGCGGAGAGGAGGAGCACAAGGTGTTCCCTTGCAGCTACTGCCAAAGGAAGTTCTACAGCTCACAAGCCCTCGGCGACCACCAGACCGCGCACAAACGAGAGCACGGACGCTTGCCAAAAGAAGCCTCCCGATGATGAGAAGCATTAGTAGCAGGAGTGCTTTTGTCTACCGCCCCGTTGCAGGATTATTTTCAGCATTTTTCAATTCTTGCACTTTTTCGATTTATGGATGTTTTGGATAACTAGGGATATTAAGAGAATTTGATTAAGGTATTTGGGAAGAATAATTATGGGGATAAATCTGGGTAGTTATAGAAGGAATTTCATTATATTTAGGGAATGATTGTTGGGAAGAGATCATTAAGCATAATCACAATATTTTGGTGCAATTCCCTCCTCATTCCTCCTCTTTCTCTCATTCCTCCTCTTTCTCTCTGCCGAGTTCCCCTCCCCAAACCCTATTCTTCTTCTTTTCCATACTTCACACGTACAAAACCCTTATCCTTCTCCAAAACCTCCTTTCTTCCATTAAACATCAAATCATCTCCTTTTCCTTGCACGTAGCCTACGCGCATATCCCTCCTAAGATCCGCGCCTGCAACAAATTGGTATCAAAGCAGGTTGAGTGGTGTATGCCAGCTACGACTAGACAGATGTCAAAGAAGTCAGGCTAAGACGGAGCCGTGAATGACGAGATCGACGTGGAGGCTGTCATGGCTCCACTCCAAACGGTGGTCGCAAAGCAGAGCGAATCAGAAGAGAAGCTCTCACGATTCAGTGAACAACTGGAATATCATATGGAGCACGTGAGTCGAACGGCAAAAGAGGTGGAAGGGACCATGAAGGCTCGACTCAGTGGGCTCGTCGAGGTGTTAGGCCAGATCCAGGCCGAGGTGAGAGCCGGCAATGGCTGCATAGGCGGGCCGATTACCACCACCACGACACCCCCTCATGTGGTCCCGGTCATGGATAAGCGTCACACCTCCCACAACGGCGACGAAGACGGCGCGAGAAAAAGAGTGAAGGCTCGGCGTCGGCGACGCGAAATGAAAACAAGAAGGACAAGGGCTTCCTGCCATTACCGGAAACGTCCTTGGTGCTGCCAAGGAACCGGGGTAAGCTGCCGCAGGGAGAGCAAGGACCGGAAGATGGGCCGAAGCAGGGCGGGTCCCACTAGTTCTCGGGGCCGGCTGCGGCTCGAGGAAGCCGCGACGATGAGTATGGATGGGGTCTCGGATCTAACGACATGCCCTGGGCCGGAGCGGGACGAGCGGGCAGCAGAGCGCAGGAAGCGGGCAGGAGAGCGCGGGAAGCGGGCAGGGGAGCGCGGGAAGTGAGGTGCGGAGAATTCTGGCCGCAACGCGATAATCGGGAGGGGAACGAGAACTTTCCCGCTCTCGGCACATCCAAGGTGCGAGGTCCCATCCGAGGCAGTGGCAGCTTCGCGGGAGATGGGGGCTATGGGAGGAACGAAGATGACGTGGTGGGAATGGAAGGTGATGACAGATGGGAGGTGATCGAGCCTAGACGACACCACGACCCCTATGGCTGCGTAAAGTACGGTGACGAAGAGATCATGTTCCGGACCAAACCACCAGTAATTGAGTTCGCGAGGTTTTCATGATTGGAGGACGCAGGCGCGTGGCTATCACGAGCTGACCGTTGATTTCGACACCAGGGAACCAGGGGGAACAGAAGGCGCATCTGGCAGCCTTCTATCTTGACGGGGCGCACAACAATGGTGTGAGCGGATGGAGCGAGCTTATGCCATAGTTGGGCAGGAGATCATTTGGGAGCGGTTCAAGGAGGAATTCGGCATACGATTCAACGTGAGGGACGAGTCTGCTTCTGAACAGCTAGTCAAGCTTAAGCAGACGAGCAGTGTAAGTGAGTTTCAATTCGAATTTGAACGCTTGGGTAATCTTTGCTACGGCATTCCAGAGGAGACACTAGTCGGGATTTGTTTGGCAGGTTTAAGGATTGAGATCGCTGCGGCAGTCAAGGTGTTTGAGTCAAACTCGCTTCGAACGACCTTCCGAATAGCAAAGAGAAAGGAAGAAGAGTTGGCCAGGTAGAAGGCGAGTGCCATGCCATTTAAATCTGGAGGTTGTGGGAGTGGTGTCGGGGGCGGAGGTGGAGGTGGATCAACCACGATGAGTAGCGGCGGTGGCGTTGGGGCTGCAGGGATCGCGGGAACCGAGACCAACAAAACTAATGCGGCGAGCAGAGTAGGAGCGGTCGGGACAGAAGGTGGTGGGCCAACCGGACGGACCGGACCTCGACTCACCCCAGGAGGGTTTGTTTGGTTAACTCTGGCCGAGATGGACAAGAAACGACGCGATGGCAAATGCTATAACTGCGACTAAGGGATTTGGGAAGAATAATTATGAGGATAAATCTGGGTAGTTATAGAATGAATTTCATTATATTTATGGAATGATTGTTGGGAAGAGATCATTAAGCATAATCACAATATTTTGGTGCAATTCCCTCCTCATTCCTCCTCTCTTGATTAAGGGATTTGGGAAGAATAATTATGAGGATAAATCTGGGTAGTTATAGAATGAATTTCATTATATTTATGGAATGATTGTTGGGAAGAGATCATTAAGCATAATCACAATATTTTGGTGCAATTCCCTCCTCATTCCTCCTCTCTCTCTCCGCCGAGTTCCCCTCCCCAAACCCTATTCTTCTTCTTTTCCATACTTCACACATACAAAATCCTTCTTCCTTCTCCAAAACCTCCTTTCTTCCACCAAACACCAAATCATATAATTTCCCTTGCACGTAGCCTACGTGCATACCCCTCCCAAGATCCACGCCTGCAACACGCCTTTACAGGCAAACCTGTTACGGCGCGACACCATTTGGTATCCAACCCCACTCTCACTCTCTTCTCCACCACGAGAAATCATCTTCTTCTTCGACTTGAAAGCTTACAGTGTAGTGTATAGGAGGGCACCATGCTAATTCCTCTAATCACTGCCTTTATTTTTAGTTGTATCTGACACGGTAGAGTGTAGTGGAGGACATGTTAGATTTTTCTGAAAATCAATTTTATTTAAAATTTTAAAAATTTGAAATATCCCTTCTCTCTCTAATAAAGATGTATTATGTGAAAATGTAACTGTTATGGTGGCCAAGATCAATTCATTCACTCCCTAGACTTTTCCAGCGTCATGCAATGATTTGGTCAAGATCGGATCGCAACAGATCAAATCAACATTTGAATTGGACCATTACGAATTGAAATATAATACGACTCGAGGTTCCATTAATATTTCAAGCACTTAAGAAAATTGGACAAAATTGATATTTGTATTAGATCAAACCGAACCCAAAAACAATTATTGTCTAATCGTAGTATTTCTTTTACAATTGGATCGTGATTATCGTTGGTCCAATTCATATCGAAGTGTTGCTCACTCCTAGGCTTTAAAATGCCTAGATGCCTCCTACTTCCCACGGTCAACTAGGGTGTCACTGTGACCACTAGATGCTGAAAAATGGCCACATTATAATGGTGGATCCTGGAAATTTTTTTCCTATATATGTCGGTCATGGAACATCCAAACACGAGTCAGGAACACAAACAAACAACTCACTACTGTGATTATTGTCCCATTCCATAGGACGGAAATGTTTGGAAATTATTCTCTAACATGACGTATTTAATCTATTTATGTATTTCAATTAAATCTATTATTTAAATGTATGAATTTAATAAATATAATGTTTGGAGGTTGAATGATTATGATGATCACTTACAAAAAGAAAGGGGAAAATGAGAGATTGTCAATCTCAATTACCAAAAAAATGATAAATTCTTCAAATTACGGAGTCGTTTGGTTTTGGTGATAGTTTGGTTGGGATAGTTACTATGCATGCAATGTCCACAATACATCGTTTTTTTTTTATTTTCTGCGCAAACAATGCATGCATTGTTTGTTTGATTTGACACAAACTATCACTCAAAATGAGTGATAGTTAAATCTCAAATTTCCGTTGAGATTGTTGAGATTGTTTGATGGAGATTGTTGTGTTTTTTTCTTCTTCCAAATATGTCCCTAACTTTCTATGTGTGTTGCTTTTTATATTAAAAACAAAGGTAAAAGTGATATTTCACCCAAAAAGTGATATCATTTATTTAAATACTATAATAACTATCACAGAAACCAAATAATGTAAACTACAATTCACCAATTTTCTTATATAAATGTATCATATAGAATTCTAACTTCCAAATAACCTCTAAATTAAAGATCTGATTCGGATTTCTTCGTTATACATAATTGACCTGCTGCTTTTCCAGTGCCAAAAACCTGCTTCCTACCTGTCTGGTAGAAGCCGAGGGTAAAAGGTCAAAAGATTCATTATGATGAAGATACCATCCCATTACTTCATCTTCTCAGTTATCAGTTACTCAAATATCAACCAATCAACAAATTGCACATGGTAGGTAGCTATGGAACAACCACGGAAACTCGAACCCAATCAAGACTGGTGACAATATTTCAGCTACTTTGAGACGGAGCCAAGATATTTTGATTGGAAGGGTCGATTTTTTCCCCGACAAAGTAATAGAAAATATCATTTTCTAATTATGCACAAGATTTTAGGGTGGTTTGGTTTTGGTGATAGTTAAATAGATGCATTGTAATCAATGCATGCATACTAATATACATGTATATAAGAAAATTAATGTATTGTAGTTTACATCGTTTGGTTTTTGTGATAGTTATTTTAGTATTTAAATAAGATATATTGCTTTCTAAGTGAAATGTCACTTTTACCCTTTGTTTTTAATATAAAAAAGCGAAACACATTAGTTGGAAGAGGAAAACACTCCAACAATCTCAAACAAACAATCTCAACAATCTCCAAGGTTGTCAAACCGGTTTATACCGGTGTGCCGGTTTTGAAAGTGGAATGGTCCGACCGTGGTACAACCAGTATTCACGCCGGTTTTGCCGGTTTTAATAAAATATATAAGACAAATGAAAATCCTCAATTCCAAATAAATTAGTCATCAAAAAGCAATTAGAAAAATTATTTCACACAAAATAATTTATAGCTAAGAATTGGTAACTAATACTAAACAATTAGATGCTTAAAAATAAAAGTATATAAAATGAATTTTATTAA